TAAGTTAAATAAATACAACTTAACCACTGATTTCTAGTCGTGTCCTCTTTTGGTATTTCCTCAGTGACCAGCACGGATCAGCTCCAGGCATGATGAAGCGGATATCGTCCTCTTTTTGAAGGCCAAACAAAATAGTTTCGCTTTCACAACGAAACACACAGCGCCTTCACGACATGGTAGCAGCAACAATACTACAGCGAGAATGAAAGTTATGCCTTCTTTCTTTGCGTGAACATTTGGGCGGCGTTATGCAAATCTTCCCACATCGTGACGTAGACATGTGGGGGCATGTTAGAATGAGCCGTTTTAGGTAGGCGTGGTTGACTCTTAACTTTTATAAAGAATAACTCTTTGGATTTGAGACTTTAGTCTTTGCAACTTTACAGATCTTCTTTATGCACCAAGAGCTTGTAACACTCCAAAGAGAAAGGAAAAATTGAAATCGCATCATATGACCCCTTTAACATTTATTTTTCAAAGATGTGTTCACTGTTAAACAGTGTAGCTTTAAAAAGATATATACGAAATGTGAAAGAACATATGATAGTGGTGTGTGATAAAAGGTTTTAGTTAATTATTCTTTTTATTTGCTCTGTTTTATTTGTCTCTTTATTGAAGGGTTGTATTTATCGTCCATATATTTTATTTTATTTTTATTTTTTTTTTTATTTTACCAGGAAGTCCCACTGAGATAAAAGCAAAGAAACAGAATCCAATGCCAGTGTAATTATAGCATATTTTGAAAATTTGTTTTAAGATGCCTAATCAAAACGTCAGGTTACTTCTGTTGGACTGACCCTAAAATAATTGTCCTGTACTATCAGTGTAGTTTAAAATGCCTTGCATAAAAACCTCAGCTAAATGACTAAACATAATTGACTAAATATAATAACTTAACAAATATAATGTTTAATTCATACAGATAAATACTTAAGTGTCAAGACCACTGTATATTGACTTAAGTTTTGTTGCATGTCTTAATTTTTTCAGAATCAGAAGGAGCTTTTTTACCAAGTATGTTTACACACACAAGAAATTTGACTTGGTGACAAGAGCTTCCACTGCAGAAGAAAGTACATACATAGTGCAAACATACATGATAGTGCTGACATACATAGAATTACACAGTAAAGTTTAAATAACACTAATATAAAAAACAGAAAAATAATACTGCACTATATATAGAAATAAAAATATAGAGAAAACATACAATTGTTTAAATGAATGTACAGCTATGTTATTAACAAGTGTACCGTTTATGTAGTTTACAATATACAGTTTCCAGATACTATGTACAAAAGTGTCAGTTATGATGGACAGTGTGTAATTGTGAACTTTTTAATTGTTCAGGCTCAATATGGCCTGCGGGAAAAACTGTTCTTATGCCTGGCTGTTCTGGTGGTCGGTGCTCTTTAACGCTCTTTAGCGAGTCTGCTAAAAGTTTTGTGCGTGTTGTCTGTGCTGTATTAATACAGAGTGTTTCTCGTTTTCTCTGGTGTTATTTTTTTCTTTTCTGGGGTACATGCGTTGTTGCCCTATGGGCCCGACAGGAAAGTGTGAGCAGCTTTTAGCTGTGTGGCATCAACCCTGAGTGCAAAAGTAAAAACACAGGAAAGATGCAATTGTGTGTGTGGAGGTGTGGGAATGTGTGAGGATGTCGTCACCATGGAGGCCGGCGTCTGTGTTGTTTTCTGACACTAACTAATGACCAGCACAATCTCGGTGTTTCTGTATTGTTAGATTTATGAGCTTAGCAGGATGCCCACCGCTGTGAGTCATACCGGGCCGTCTTCAGTTCTCTAAGAGAGAGCAGGAAGCTTTGACTGGGATTTATGACCTGGACAGGACCGAAAAAGCTGCACCATGTACAGACAGAACTTTGTCTATTGAGCGTTGTGGTCTTATCAAGGGTGGACATCCAGCAGAGCAAAGGTCTAAGATGGCACAGGAAGTAGCACATGTTGTCTTCCTGTCTGCTTTCCTGCATTGAGATGACAAAGTTGGTGTTTGTTTTCGTTTAGCAACTATTATGAGGCTTGGAGCACATCAGAAGAAGAAAAAAAAAACTGTACAAAATGTGTTTTTGCTTTTTACATTCAGCAACTATTGTGACGCTAGAAGCATAATTTATCTGATCAAAAATACATTAAATTAATAATATTGTGAAATATCATTACAATTTAAAATAATTTTCTATTTTAATATATTTACAAATGTATTCTACTGATGGCAAATCTGAATTTGCAGCATCCATTACTCAAGTCTTCAGTGTCACATGATCTTTCAGAAATCATTCTAATATGCTTATTTGGTGCTCAAGAAAAATTTCTTATTATTATCAATGCTGAAAACAGTTGTGCTGCTTCATAATTTTGTTTTTTGATGACTAGAAAGGCCAGAAATAGATACCTTTTGTACCGTTATAAAGGTATTTGTCACTTTTGATCAATTTAATGTGTGCTTGCTGTATAAAAGAACAAGTAAAAAAAAAAATCTTACTGAACAGTAGTGTAGCTGTATAAATTTGACATTATTTATTTACATTTTTATTAGAATGTTTATATCGGCTGATCACTACTTTTAACTATGACTATTTTCCTCTTGTACCTTATTGCTTAGATATAGAACAAGACAGACAGGGAGCTAATGTGTTTTATGATTAATCGCTCTATCAAACTGCAATATGGCACGATTATGCTTCTGGTGTAGATTTCTGTTTAGATTTTAACTGTGGCCTGTTTGGACTCAAGTTCCTATCACTTTGGATCATACTGCAAGTAGGGGTGTGCGATATTGACAAAAAATGATATCTCATTACGATTGAACCGAATCATTTAAACGAGTGATTCATTCAAGAACGAAACACCGTCATGTTGCTCAGAGACACAAAACAGCACTGTGGCTGTATTCGGGATGATTTTTGTTGGCGAAATAGAGCAAAAACAAGCAATATGGTGTCTAAAACGTAAGTCTCTTAATTAACTTATTGTTTATTGAATTCAATCTCACATTTGTAATCATGGTAATTTTTGGAGAAAAACGGCACTCTTCGTGTGAAATTGAATAACTATATGAAGTGGTATAAATATATAAATTTTCTGCCATCATGTCTTGAATTTGTGATCATTCTAAATGCATTTTAATAGACTGAATCATGCAGTGAAAGAAAACACACTAAATGCGCACACGCACTAGTCTAGACTTCACGTAATGTATGTGTGCGCTCTGTAGGGATGTTTTGAATGGTTTTTGCAAAATACTCGATAATGTCAAATCGCACATCGTTAAAACAACTATTACGATATTATCGCAGACGATATATATCGCACACCCCTAACTGCAAGTAACCAGTTCCACAGCACAGCAGCACTGAGATATTCTTCTGGAAGTGCACACATTTTCTCTTTTGCTTCTTCACAGCAGCTGTACTCCATTTGTTCTCCTGCTCACTATCTTATGATAAGAGATTGCTAAGGAAAAGTCCCCATCCATTTTGAGGATTTTAATGTCTCCCTTGATATCAGTTGCTGAGAGGTTAGTCTTGTCGATTTCAGTGGAGGTAGCAGGTTTTTTTCATGCTTACCTAGATGCTTATTCTCTAAGAAAAAAGAGCAGGAGTGAGGGATAGAGAGATCACAAGAATCCCACAGAGAGACTTGCTTCACAAAGGGAAAGAAACATTTAAGTAAAAATAAAAGGACCCTCGTGGGTCATTATTCTAAACTTTCTCTGCGTCCCCACTGGGATAAGAGATGCCGTGCTGTCGTTGTTGGGAAAGCTCAGACAGAAGCACAGTCGCACCATTAGGACCTTTCTTTGCTGTTAAAATGCTGATGTATCTCTTAGCATTTGTTCTGAACAGTGCAGATTTAATATATAATACTATTATATGATGCAATACTATATATATTATAATAGTAATATTATATAACAGGTTTTATATAAATACACACACACACATACGATTAACATTATTTGTTTTTATTAAAAATGTATACATTTTCTTTTTGAAAACTGTTATTTGGCTGTATGTAGCCTATATATATGCGTCAATGCATATTATGCATATTATAATTTATAATTTAAATATAATTATCATGAATTGGAAAGTATTAATTTTGTGTACATAACTGTAATATACATTTTTATTCATTTTTACTGGATTTCATATAACCAGTATTATAGATATACCAGGGCTTTGGTTTGGGTGTAGATGTGGTGTCTTCTACTTTTTCAAATTGCTGGAATAAGCATTTGAATGGTTAGTCTGTTTTTGTTTTTTTTTTTAAATCATAATCGGTTGTTAGTTACATCTTTATTTTATTTTATATTTTGTTGGGCTTTTTTAATTTGTACAATTCTTTAATTCACTTAATTCACTTTGTCATTTTTAGTGTAGTCTATAGTAGATATAATCTTAGTAATTATAATGTTTCATTAACCCCTCTTTTTTTCTCTAATGAAACCTCTTATTGGCTTCACCACTTGTAGAATAGTGAAAAATGGTGTAACAGTGTCTTGCTGTGCCAAACTCTCCTGTGTGGCTGATTGTACCTCTTAAGTAGAGGGGAGTGGAATATAGTTTTACTCTGTCTGTTTTTAGCACTCTTATTTGGGCAGCGGGAGGGATTTCTTAGACAGGCCGCTGACCCCGGGCCCCCACTGCACTATCGCAGATCAGAAACATGGCATCAAAGAAACGCCCGGGCCCCAGCCGTGTCTGCTTAAACTCACCACAGCAGCTCTACGTGTAGCCCACTCGGCTCTGACCAAAAACATGCAGCATGGGTGTTTAGCGCTCAATGGTGTTCATTTAGAAGTGTAATGATAGCATTCTGCAGTACGGCTGCCAGCTCACTGGTGCCTCAAACCTCTATTCAGTGCAAACATCTGGAGTGTTCTTGACCTTCAGGTTCTACATATCTGTTGGCTCTCATCTGAATGATAGTGTGCTCTGCATTGAGCTAAAGTGCTTCTTTTCAACGTATTCCTTATTTCAGACACTCATGTTGTTTTTCTCTCTTTTGTTTCCTCTACAGCAAACTCTTCTCTGCTCGGCGGTGGAGGAGGTAAGTGTCTTATCTTACTACATTTTCATTGTAACATCATTTTGAGATGTTAGGTGGTTTCTCCATGAATTCGACAGTGGAAAACACATCGTCGTCCATTGGCAGATGAAATCTGAGGTGTCCAACCATGTCTGTGGTTGCCCATGTGGGTGGTTAATGGAGCAACACTACCCAGGCCCTCATTTGGAAACATTTCTGCACACATTTTGACATGATTGAAGTAATTACACGCAAAACACAAGACATGACAGAAGGAGTAAAGAAGTGTTGGGGTGTGGGGTCGGGAATCAACCCAATTACAACTGGAATTTTGATCCATCTCACTTTTAGAGGGGAATCCGTTTAGTCCCTGGATAATGAATGTGGGTCAGTCGTAGGGCTGGACGATATGGCCAAAATTTATATCACGGTATATTTCTTAATTTCGGTCGATACGATATAATTCCGATATCGATATGAACACTATTTAAAAAATTCAGAGATACATTCATATAAAACACCCGCGCCGTGTTATGATTTTGAAACGTGCAGTGCTCATGTTTATTCAACGAAGTCAAACGGCACAAATAAATCAATGCATGGGAAACACTGGTAATGTATATCGAAATATCGGAAATGTGTTTAAAAATCATATCACCGTTATTGAAAAGAATTATATCGCGATACATATTGATATTGAATTATTGTCCAGCCCTAGTCAGTCGTGTGGCCTTTTTCGCGCGATCCTTTGTTTATCCATCTGTGCCACAGTGTCAGGGAGGGTCCTTCTCTGCTGCCACATCTCGGGAGCCGACCGCGCTTGTGATCACTATCCGTCTCACATCACACTCTCTTTAGTACAGCTCTTATGTTATCTGATGTGTGCTAAAAGCCGCCAAACCCCCGTCTTTCTTCATTTTAGCTCTAGAATAGACCCTTATCAGCCACTGCGACCGATTTCCCTGATTGAAGAAGTGGCGGAAAAAAAAAACGGGCTGATTAAGGCCAGAGGTCACACGTCTGAGACAAAACTACTTACCATAGCACTTGTCAGTGAATCTGTGTGACCCCCAAGACTGGGAGTCAAACGTTTCTGCAGCCCCATGCTTTATTGGCACCTCATTGTGTGTCATCATGGTCCTTTTATTGATTTGTCACGATGCAAGACGTCTCGGGGGCAATTTGGTTTCTTCATTATTTTGCCGTAATTGGCTTTTGATGTTGGTGTGTGCGCGCGCTCGTATGCGTGTAAAGGAGACTATTAGAGGATGTTCATCAGCAGCGGCAGGTGAACGAAGGCTGATGTTACACTCTGGGGGAATATTTTTGTACCAGAAAAAGATCTGTGAAAGGAAATATGCCTGTTAGCATTGCATCTGGAGGTGTTTTTTTCTTCCGAAACACGTCAGTCTGCAAACAAAACTTGCATCCCTGATAAAAAAAAGAGCTTCTTGTCATATTCAGCACTGAAGGGAGTTTAATCAAAGCCCATATCAAGAGCATTGTCTCCCCTAATTACCATCCCCAGATGCCAGTGCTAGAAAACCAATTAACCCGCAACGATAAGCCATTTGGTATAGTGTCAAAGAAGAAAACAAAAATGCTAATCCAAGGTTGACAACATAAGAAAACACGTTAAACTCTGAGAACAGCGTGAAGCAGGCACACTAGTTTGGGACGGACTGACAGGGAGATTTTAGGCTTTGTTCACACTGTACTCAAATCCAATTTGGTTTTGCATCCAATCTCTAGGACAGTTGCTATGTTAATGTGAGCGTCAACAAAATGCTTTTTACACATTTTTTTTCATAGTGAATGTCACATATACTACCATTCAAAAGGTTGAATCAGTAGGTTTTTTAAAATGCTTTTGTAAGTCTCTTATGCTCAACACAGCTGCATTTATATGATCAAAACCAGCAAAAACTGGAATATTGTGAAATATTGCAATTTAAAATAATAGTTTTCTATGTATTCTGTGTAATTATATGTAATATATTTCAAAATGTCATTTATCCCTGTGATGGCAAAGCTGAATTTCCGGCAGCCATTGCTCCAGTTTTCAGTGTCACATGATAATCATTCTAATATGCTAATTTGGTGCTCAAGAAACATGCCTTATTATAATTATTATTATTATTATTATTAATGTTGAATACCGTTGTGCTGCTATTTTTTTTATAGGATTCTGTGATTAATAGAAAGTTAAAAGAACAGCATTTATTTGAATGTAATAATTTTAAATGAATTTAGCATTCATTTAAAATATTAATATTAAATAAATTTAGCATTTATTTAATGTAAAGTCCCACTTTATATTAAGTGGCCTTAACTGCTATGTACTTACATCAAAAAATAAGTACAATGTACTTATTGTGTTCATATTGTATTGCAAAACACTTTTGCTGCTACTGAGGTAGGATATGGGTAAGGTTAGGGACAGGTTTGGTGGTCTGGTTAGGTTTAAGGGTGGGTTAAGGTGTAAGGGATGGGTCAACAGTGTAATTCTAAATATAATTTCAGAAATTAATTACAGATGTAATTACATGCAGGTATTTTTTAAAAATATAAATACAATATAAAAACATTTATGTACACAATAAGTGCATTGTACCAAATGATTAATTTAAATGCAAGTACATAGTAGTTAAGGCCACTCAATATATATAATAGTGGGACCGAAATCTTTTGTAACATCATGTCTTTATTATGTTGTTCTAAATGTCTTGACTGTAAGTTTTGATCAATTTAATGCATCCGTGTTGAATAAAAGTATTCAAGTTATAAGTATTAAAAACTAAAAATCTAATAGATTTAATACAGTATTATTAAATTATTAGTGTTTTAGAATATTAACTCCAAGTGAGCATTAAATGTTAAATATTAGCATAAAAATGTTAGGAAATGTTAACATAAAAATAGGTGAAATTTGCCTGTTAAATTGTCTGACATATACAAGTATATCTAATATCGACTAATGTGATAATATATATATATTGGCTGATATATCATAAATCCCTTGTTTTTTTGCTGTTTAAACTACCCAACAAACAAACACATACATATACATACATACATACATACATACTTTTTCCCCCCTTATTAATTAATTAGTTTACCAACTTGAGAATTTTAAAATCCTTACATTTACATATCCTTACATAAGTAATTAAGTACTTTTTAAAATAATTACAAATTGAAAAAAATTATTAAAACAGTTGTATGTTAATAATAATTAATTAATTATTAATAATTAATAATGTAATTTTAAACTAATATAACTTCAAAACATACAAGCAAGTAGCAAATAATAAAGAGGAGCATAGAAACATATTACAAACAAAAAACAAAGAGTGCTTTCAGTATTTAAGATTATCTGAACGTTTTCCATTCAAGAACTGTGAGTGATTTTTCTTTAATGTTGTTTTTTACTATGACATCTAGATCCATTAAGCTGCATTCACGCACGGAAGTAATATGGTTTGTCCTGTCCGTTTAATCCCTTGACACATAACTGGCTGTGTTTACATTAATTTTGCATCATAAAACCATTTTGAGATGCAAGTGCATTTGACCACTTACACGGAGTCGCGCACAGCCGCATGTGCGAGTAGTCTTCACAAACAAAGCGCGCGTCAGCATTTGAAATTGAAAGCAGCCTTCTGTTAGTGAGGTTCATATTTTAAATATATAAGTCCACTGCATTCCAAACCACATAAATGATTACTTCGTAGAGCATTTGTAAGGAAAATACCGACGGGCGATCACCGCACACTTCAAGTGTAAGCATCAAACAAAGCGCACGTCTCTCACGGAGCATCCTGTGCAATGAAGCCCGCAAATGGCCTTGTAATTCGCTTCAACCTTTCCGAACTTTATGAAAGATTATTTTACAGAAGGTTCGAGTGGTGTATGTGTGTGAGGAATTGGAAGCAAGCAGAATACGGGTGTTTCTAAAGCAAACTCAGCGTCATCGCGCATCTGGTTAAAAACTTAGCTCAGAATCGATTCTGAAATTCTCAGAATCGATCCAGAATCGTTGGAGAGAGAATCGAGATGCATCGATGGATCGATTTTTTTCTCCTACCCCTAATACATACATACATACAAACATACATACATAAATCAATCTAATTTGAATAGGATGCACCAAAAATTCTGAATTTCTCTTCCTTTCAGAAACAAAGCCGGGTGTAATCCTTTGGAAATAATTGAAAAGCAAAAGCAGACTGACATGAGCAAAGCTCACTCTATGGTTTGAATGATGACCCAGGTAGCAAGAGTTCTTTGGCTTTTATCTTTCAGAGACTTCAATCTAGGGTGACTTTTCTCACATTTTTTAAATCTGCCTCTCCTGTTTCACCCGAGACAATGATCTTCAATTCTTTCTCACTCTCTCTAGTCTAAAAAACCCTAGTATGTCCTGGGTGGCTTGTCTCTTGACCCTATGATATCAGCAATGGGGCGGCAGATACACAAACTTGTTTTCTTTTCTCCCCCTTTCCTACTGCCTATCGTTTATCGAGGTGAGGACATCCATCTGTGACGAGTTCATCTCATTCGCTACTCTTCAGAAAGAAAGACTTAGGCTTCCTCTTATCTCTGGAAGGTTTTCCCTGCTCTTGTTTTGCTTTCTAATGACCTAAGATCTGGCAGAAAAGCTGACACTGTAATGTAAATAGAAGGGAAAGTTTCTACTGTATGGAGCTTTGAACTCTGGGTGGGGCAGAAGGTCACGGCCATTTAATTGTTCATGTGAACTGTTTTGCTGTTTTAGGCTTTAGCATACCAGCATTCCACCCAGTTTTTGACTCTCACAGGGTTTCATAGCTGCGGTGGAGTGGTTTCCTGTTGTTGAGCCGCAAACGCAACACACAACAAACTCAATCAAAATGAAATTGGTGTGGTCAGCAAAGCACATTATTTAGTCCCCACTTTAAATGGGCATGTGTAAATCTTGTATTTCTCCTTAATCTAAATTATCTCTGGCTAACATAAGTGCTCAAAAAAAAAATAAAAAA